TTCCCATATAGAGCCCAGACCCAGCCCTGATAGGCATCCGAGAAAGAGATTAGATACTCAAGACAAGAATGTCAAAAGAAAATACACACGAGTAGAGGACCAAGAAGAAGTCTAGAAGCTCTTTATAACTAAGGAGCTTGATAGCAGGTTAAAGCGCCCCGAACAAAATCCATCAGGGAATTGGCAAGGAGAGTCATGACACCATCTATGGGAAACAAACCCATGATTACATGACAAATTGAGACCTTGAGACTAAATGATGATCGATATGTAGGATGGGATCTAAGCAATGTGTGAGCAGCTCTGCACCAAAGGTCTCGATCACCGAATTCCCAAACCTTTCATAAATTGGGGAAGTTCACCCTTGATTCAAGGACTTTTCCTTTCATCTTTTGCACCTACCAAGAAGAAAAATATGAACCCACAAGTCAGAGCAAGGAATAAAGAAAGCAATGGGGAAATGCAAACGCCATTGGTCATTATTTGGGGCATATTCTTCCTAGGGATAGTTGTAGCAGGGTTCCTCACCCGATTGATGTTCCCAATTGCCCGAAACAAACAAGGAGATGGGTGACAAGGTAGTGATTGATACTTCTAACTCTAAAATAGTAGTTGTTCTTAGATGTATGGGTGATAATGTAATAGTTAAAAGATGTCCCAAAGCCCTAAATTAGTCCCCAACAGGTCATTCAAAGCAAATACACCCATTACAATCATAAAGAAGTTGAGGCAATATTGGAGCAAATATAGCTTTAAGGCATTCAGAACCCTCAACAATAGATGTTGAAAAGGAAACCTAACTCCACCTTCTGTGATAGCCATTTTGGGAAAGGGTATCCTATACTTGAACCCTACCATAGGTCTATCCTTAGCAACCTCGATGATCATATCATTAGGGATGGAGTACCTGACTCTAAAATTTGGGATTTGCTCCTTCTCAAGCTTACCCATAGTAAAAGAAGGAAAGGAAATAATAACAAGAAGAGAGAAATGAAGACTTACAGAGATCTCTAAGGGCGCAAGGGAACTTTGAAAATATAGAACTGGTGAAAATAGTAGAAGAAATAAGAACGGAAGAGATGACCATTTTCCCATTGAAAGGACACGAACAACATATTTTTGTGAGAAATGAAATGAGACTATTAAATGAAGTAAAATGATTACATGCAGAGAATCTCTCCTAATGTGCCAAATAGAAAATATTCTCTAAGAGTAAGTGAAGGGGACCAGAATCTCTGAACTCTAACATGACAGTTATATTAAGAGACATGGTAGGATCACGTGCAAGATCAATTGATCTGTTCGATTATGACCGAGAAAACTACGGACTCGGTAAATTAAGAAATGCTTGGTCAAGGAGTTACCGAGCAATAGACTATGTTCCACAAGCAAAGTTTGACAAGATAGGCTGGAAAAATAAGTTCTGAGGAACTGAAGTGGAGGCACGATTAAATAATAAGACCAAACCAAAAAATAACTAGCCTAACCCAAGTAATCAAGACAAGAACGGTGATAGACAGTCACTAAAAGAAATTGCATACGTACGCATTAGAAACAATTTCTTACGTTGCACTACAAGCCAAGCAAAGTCCCCTTCATGCTTGTGCTTAAATCATTCAATCTGCGCATGCAATCTATCCGTCTCTTGTTGAGAGTGTGCCATGACATCTATCTGAAAATTCTTTATTTTTTTTCACCACCCAAAAAAAAAAATCTTTATTTTTTTAAATATGTTGTTATTGTATTTTGTTACCAATCAATAAACAAACTTAAAACCTTGTATACTTCCTTGCCAAAATCTACTACTTTTCATTATCGTAGAGATTAGAGGGTGTTTGATCATAGTATTTAATTATCACTGCGAAGTGTTGAACTTTTGCTAACTCATAAAAACTCTAAAGAAAAGGAAGCAATAAACGTTACTTCGTAGGCATACAGATCTCAAGGACATGCTTCAACGACGATTTTTTAGTGGTTAAAGTAAAACTACGATGTATAAGTTACAAAATGTATATTCAGTATAAAAAAAGTTCAAGTATTTTTGTTAAATATAATTTCACGTTAAGGTCATTAATTGATCATGATGATGCATAAAATAGACTTATGAAAGATTAATAATCGAGTGTGTGATAAATTGTCATTAATGAGATAATTAATAAAACAATTAATAATAAAAAGGTAAATATCTGGTTAACATACAAATATATAGTGGTTCAGTCTAAGTGACTTATTCCACTCTGAGAAACGACAACGGTGACCAAATAATCTTTATTAATGGATAAAGTAAGATAGAAAAGCTTTGGGAGAGGTGTGCTTTGATAGAAGTACATTAGGTAGGAAAGATAAAACCTATGTGAGGGGTGTGTAGAGAGGTGTAGAGATGTGTGAAGATGTGTCTCTCTCATATGAAAAAGACTTATAATTTATAGGGATGGAGTCTTGGTTGAGGCGATGATGTGCGGGTAAAAGCACTAGTCATAAGTATAATTAAAATTGTCTAGATCTTCGAGAGTAGGTATCCCAATGATCTCTCTCTCCCACGTGCTCTTATCTTCCTAGACTCCTTGAATCTTGGAATGGATCGGATTGATGAATCGGACTCTGCTTGTCTTTCTAGTGGATCTGGGTTGAATTAATTTATTGGGTCTGACCCAATTAAATTTGGGTTCGTCAGATCAAATTATCAAAAAGGTAACAAAGAAATTTCAAATAAAAAGAGTGTATTTGAAAATATGAAAAAACCTATAAAGGATTGAAATAAAAACTGACAAAAATTGTTAATAAAATTTCAATTAGGATATGGGGTGTCCCTAGATTAATGTCTCTTTATAGACAAAATTAATAATCGATTTGAGTATTGCAAGTTTGAGTCGAATCTAAAAAATTGTTCAAGTTCAACTTATTTAAAAAATAAATTGAGCCGAATTCAAGTAATTCGATTATTTTATATATAAATGAGTCAAGTTTTACAAGTTCAAGTCAAACCTTTTTAACTTGTTTTTTAAACGAATCTAAAAAAATATTTAAACTCGGCTCATTTATTTGAACGCGAGTCAAGTTTGAGTTGAATCCTATTCGAACCGAGTTCGAACAACTTAACTTAATCAACTTAACTCAATTATTAGTCCAATCTATAGATAAAGTTGAAAAAATGTCCCTTTTTTTTTAAAGAAATTCAAAAAATAGATTATTTTTTAACATCACTTACATTAAAACAAATTTTCGTAGTCTTCGAAGTTAATGTGGAAGCTTAAAAAATAAAAGGGAGAATTACACTCAGATTTTTTGAAGTTTGTTACTTAATCACTTAGATTCCTTGACATTTAAAATATTATATACAAACCCCCTGAAATTTGTACGCACGTAACACATAGACTCCTGACGTAAATATATCATTTAATAAATTATACTTAAACCCCCTAAAATTTGTAAGTATATAATATTTAGACCTTTAAGTTTAAAATATTATACTTAGATCAAAAATACTTCAATCAAATATAAAATATAAAATATTTTAAATTTTATTGTATCATTTATTGAAATAAAATTAAAATTAAAATTTTATTTTTTCTTAAAAAATTGTAATTAATATACATTTATACTATCTATTGGAATAAAACTAAAAAATCAAACAAATGGTCTAAGGCATTCATAATAGAATATGAATTTTACATCTAAAATTCATGTTCTATTATTTCATTTTATTGAAATAAAATCAAAAATAAAAATTAAGTTTTTTTAAAAAAAATTAAAGTTATTATATAATTATACTATCTATTAAAATAAAACTAAAAAATTAAATAAGGGGTTAAACTGTAATGGACACAATATCTTTTAGTTTTAATTGGGGTAGTTTGGTATTTAATTTGATTATTTAAACGACCAAATTAAATTCTAATAGACAATATAATTGTAAACTAATTATGATTTTTTAAGAAAAAAATTGAACTTTTATTTTTGATTTTATTTCAATAAATGATAAAATAGAACATGAATTTCGATTGTAAAATTTAAAATATTTGATATTTTATCTTTAATTGAAGTATTTTTGGTCTAAATATAATATTTTAAACTTAAGTAGTCTAAGAATTATATACTTACAAACTTTAGAGGTCTAAATATAATTTATTAAATGATTTATTTAAATAAAGGTTGTAAGTGTTATGCGGGTACAAATTTTAAGAGGTTTGTGTGTAATATTTCAAATATCAGGCATATGAGTGATTAAGTGACAAATTTCAAAAGATCCAACTGGATTTCTCCCAAAATAAAAATAAACACATTAACGAACCAATTAGTAGCCGTAGGACGGACATAGTTAAGCTTCGGAACAGAAAGTAAAAACCCGTTACACTAAAACGCGCAAGCGTGCGTCTTACGCACCCTTAAAAACCTTTTCTTTCCCATGTGCAGCATGCGTACTATGCACTCCCTTACAATCTTTCCCTTTGTAGGCCAGGTGCGTAACGCGCATACCGCTCACTCTAACACCAAATCGGAGCTAAAGAGAAAAAAGAGTGTGTCATACTGTAATTTGCTAATGCACTCGTGTAGCGTCTCTGCTTAACAGCAAAGCGTCTCTGCTAACACTCTGCGACCACTAGTATTTTATTCTTGAGCACACCCACAATCCATCTCTCTCACTCTCTCTCTCTCACACACACACACATACTACAGAGAAACTCATAATCTAAATTGAGATTTATAAAGTTCTCTAGATAGAGAAACAAACCCAAACAACTATTTGAACACCATTCACATCTCTCTCACTTTCTCTCTATAAACTCTCTTTTTTCTACTTGTGTATCTATAGTTCGATTCAGAACCCTAGAGAGAGAAATCAAGGCAAAGCATTTCGCCTCAAATCACACCCCTCTCGATATACCTATATAGATGTGTATTTATCTGTATTTTGCGTGTTTAGAGATTTGAAACACTACAGATTGTGTGCAAAGGAGGCTTAGGTATTTGATGTGAGAGGGATTAGGGTCAGATCGGAGATGGCGGAGTTTTCCGGCGAAGGAGGGGTTTCAAGAACGCCGGAGCTGAGTTTCGGAGATAATGATGGCAATGTACGGGCGACAGCAACGATTGACGCCATGATTGCGACGGGAATGGCCACTGCGACGCCGTTGACGGTGTCGGGATCGTTCAGGGACGGGAAGAGTGGTTCGTCGAGGAGGAGAGCTTCGGTGAGGCCAAGTTTGGACGCGGATGAGTTCATAAATTTGCTTCACGGCTCGGATCCGGTGAAGGTAGAGCTTAACCGGTTGGAGAATGAAGTCAGAGGTGAGGAATGCGAGTTGATCCGGCGATTCATTTTGTCGTTTTTGGTTTTTATGGTGGTTTGACAATACGGTATCGTTCTGTGTACAGATAAGGATCGAGAGTTGGGGGAAGCGCAAGCGGAGATCAGGGCGTTGAAGTTGTCAGAGCGACTCCGAGAAAAGGCCGTTGAAGAGGTTATGTTTATGTTATTGTTATGTTTTGTTTTTTCGAAATAGATCATTCTTTTTTCACTTTTTAAAGAATTGGAATCGGATTGAGTTTTGATAGTGTAATGAGTTCGTATGCCATAATTAGAATGTAGATTTGCAATTTCTGTCATAATGTGGAATTCGAAAAAAAAAAAACCTCCCAATGCCTATTTTCTTCAACTTTGAATTTTGTTTTCTGGCTTCGTATTTTTTCTATCTGAATAAGCTGGCGGTGTCCTCTTTATGATTTTCGAATTTCAATTTGACGTTGGTTGGATCAGTTAATAGTCTCTGTTTCCAATCATTTGAAACATCTAGGCAGAATTCCCTTTCCATTATATGGTTTTTAACTTGTAACCTGTGATCTTTTTTCGACTATGTTATTACTTCTTTCTGTCCTAATGCATGTTGTCATTGGGTTGTTGCTACGTGTATCTGGAAAATGCTTCCAAAGACTTTGCTTTGGCTTTTTTACCCCAGCCTAAATATATGTTTTGCTTGCTGAAGTTGTGATGATGCATTTGGGGATTCAGTTGTTCCTCTTGGGATGATACTGTCATAGCATTTTAGCAGTTGAACATAGTAGGTAAATTTAATATTGCATTAATATGCCAATGGTGGTAGCAGAACATTAGGTTGCCTTCTTTTTTAAAATTTTTCCGTTCGTCCTTATCATATGTTTCATTGAGTTATATTAAACTGTTAAATTGAAAGCTGACATAAGTTCCTCTTGCACTTTAGCTCACTGAAGAATTGACGAAGGTGGAGGGGAAACTCAAGTTAACAGAATCTCTTCTAGAAAGCAAAGTATGTAGTGAAGCTCTTTCATCTTCAATATGTTTCTATCTCAATTACAAAGCTATATTGAGTGACATCATTTTTTGGGCAGAATCTTGAAATTAAGAAAATCAATGATGAGAAGAAGGCCTCCATGGCAGCTCAGTTTGCAGCAGAAGCCACTCTTCGAAGGGTTCATGCTGCTCAGAAAGATGATGATATGCCTCCAATTGAAGCCATCCTTGCACCCCTAGAGGCTGAGCTCAAGCTTGCTCGACAGGAGGTATGCATTGTGTCCTGCTATTGGATGTTTAAGTCATAATTACTTTATAATTGCACTCTAGATGTATAGCAGGGACACATTTAGCTTATTAGGAAAAGCACCTCCATGAGGTCACAGATTTAGGTCCCTGCTACATAGCAGTTAGAAACACACAGAGCAACCATGATCACGCAGGATATTAACATGAAATGGGGACAAGCAAGAAGAACATTCTCAGTATTTAGAAACATAGAGCCACAAGAGTCACCTTAGAATAGGTGATTGTCTAGGATTTAAGCACTAATTTGTTGCTTTTGTTCCCCACAGATTGCAAAACTGCAGGATGACAACAAAGCATTAGATCGCCTTACCAAATCGAAAGAGGCTGCTTTACTTGAAGCTGAAAGGACTGTGCAGGTTGCCTTGGTGAAGGCTTCTATGGTGGATGATCTCCAAAATAAGAACCAAGAGTTGATGAAGCAGATAGAAATTTGCCAGGTATTGTGGTCATGCATGCTGTTTTCTTTTCCAGGACCGTCGCAACACTTTGGTGTATAATCTTTTCATTATTGTGTTTTCCCGCGTATTGGACTTGATTTGTCAAATGTATGTGTCAGGAAGAAAATAAAATTCTTGACAAAATGCACCGCCAAAAAGTTGCAGAGGTCGAAAAGCTCACCCAAACTGTGCACGAGCTTGAAGAGGCTGTTCTTGCTGGTGGTGCAGCTGCAAATGCTGTGAGGGATTATCAACGGAAAGTTCAAGAGATGAATGTAATATGCCATAGATATATCCATGCATCATGCTTGCCCATTTACATCCTCCTACCGGATGGTCTTTAAGCAATCTTCAATGCTGGAATTGTTTTTTTCCTGTGTCCAGGAGGAAAGAAAAACTCTTGATAGGGAGCTGGCTCGTGCAAAAGTAACAGCAAACAGGGTGGCGGTTGTAGTAGCTAATGAGTGGAAAGATGCAAATGACAAAGTGATGCCTGTAAAACAATGGCTTGAAGAAAGAAGGTTCTTGCAGGTATACCAGTTTGTAGTCGGTTGTTATATAGATATTTTGAACTCCATTATGCTGTTTCTATGGGAAAAAAAGGATTGTGCCTGCTGCATAAAGACCCCCGCCTATACGGGTTTTGGGATAGTTCTAAGCCTTATCTCAATTTTGGAGAGGCTGTTTTCTGTGTTCGAACCCCAAATGTATCGCTTGGTGAATGAGTTCTTTCCATTCCTTTAGGTCCAATGTGATGTATCTATTTGGGCAATTAAATTTTTTCTGTATTTCACTTCTGTAGTTTCTCCGGTCTGCAATTATAACTAACGTTTGTTGTCATAGGGTGACATGCAGCAATTACGGGACAAACTCACTATAGCTGAGCGAACAGCAAAATCTGAAGCACAGTTGAAGGTGACAATTTGGTTTCGTCATAGTGTGTCTACCTAAGGCTCTAAGCCATTTAACTATATTTTCTATAATAGTTTTGAAGATTGTATTTTTCTCACACGCTCCAGGAAAAATATCAATTACGGCTGAAAGTAATAGAAGAGACTTTGAGATCATCAAACACTAGCAATCGCAGCATTTCTGATGGAAGATGTGCAAGTAACGGTCCTTCACGTCGCCAATCCTTGGGTGGAGCTGATAACATCTCGAAATTGACCTCCAATGGCTTTTTACCTAAGAGATCACCATCCTTTCAGTCGAGATCTACTCTGTCTTCTGGTTCTAGTACGGTGTTGAAGCATGCAAAAGGAACATCAAAGTCATTCGATGGTGGCTCACGATCATTAGATAGGGGTAGAGCCCTCTTAAATGGAGCAGGTCCAAATTTTAATCTCAACCAGTCCTGTGAGGGGACTAAGGAGAGCGAGGCAAATAATAATTCCTGGGAAGGCAGCTCAGATGAAAAACCTAGTAACTTCCCAGCTACAGATACAGAGGATACAGTGCCGGGATTGTTGTATGATATGCTACAAAAAGAGGTGATTGCATTGAGGAAAGCTGGTCATGAAAAAGATCAAAGCCTTAAAGACAAGGATGATGCCATTGAGGTTGGTTCGTTTCTATTGAGTTACAATTCTTCTTAACATATAGCTTCTGCTAGATGTTCGGTTGTGACTCTTGTTTCTTAGATGTTGGCAAAGAAAGTTGATACTTTAACCAAGGCAATGGAGGTTGAAGCCAAGAAGATGAGGAGGGAGGTAGCTGTCATGGAGAAGGAAGTAGCTGCCAT